ACCCTGTCCACACCAGGCTGTCCCACACACGGCTGCACTCCATCTACGTGTGCACACCATGGTGCCCCCTCCACTCCTGTACCTCGTCTATCCATCCACGCCAGGGCACCCACAGGAAGGGAACAGGCTCAGCACTCGGAGAATTTGCTCCCAGGAATTGAAGCTAATGGATTGTCTGAAAGAGACTATAAAACCAATATGTGTTTCAAAGTAATTAACAAAAATAGTTTTATTCTATCACACAATAAGCCATTTCTTCAGAAAATACTTCTGCGCCTAGTCTAAGAAAATAGTGTTTTTTGCTTTTATTCCACACATTCTCAAAAATCACTAAATAGGCGGTGGTCTTTGTTGTTGTTAATAAATAGGACTCTGAAGGTGAAAACAACAGCTCTGTGGTTGGAGACAAAGGTGCAGCACAGGAATTCCACAGCCAGACTGGGCACCGCCAATCAGAGCATCCGTGAAAAGGGTGCCGGGATGTGACAGAGAGGAAAGAATGGGGCCATTTGCTGCATCCTCGCGCTTCAGAGCGAGAGACGGGGCCGGGGAGAAGAGTACCTGGAGAGAGAGCGACCTATACTTTGTAGGTTTGAAGAGAAGAGGGTGACTTCTCAGATGTACAGATGAACACAGAGGCCTCCTTGCAGATGAGAGATTAGCATGAGCACTCGTGTGCAAAGGGGCAAACCACAGTGACGCAGGCAGCAGGCTTGTGGTCAGCAACTGGATCATAGCACGGAAGAGTGCGGCACCACCGTGCAGGCGGAAAGAGACAGTCAGCCTAGACTTCCACTCCCAGCTGAGGTACCATCAGGACGGAGGCTTAAGTGACAGTGTCCCTGACAAAGCCTGGCGCTTGCTGACCCCACAGAGGCCAGCTATGAGGACTGCAGGTCAGTGAGGAGGACGTTGGACCCCAAGGAGACAGTACAGTGAAGGAAGACATGGGCACATCTGAGAAGGCGTTCACCCTCAGCCCCCCAAGAGCCTTCCCTCGTGGAGAGGGATGCAGCATAATGACCAGACGCTGCACAGCGCATGTGCAAAACATCACACGGCACCCTTAAAAGATCCCAACGAGCTGTGCTTTCCTGGGCCGGCGGGAGGAAGCGCAGTGGAAACGGGGGGGCTCCAGGAGAAGGCAGAGCTAGGCGTGGGGAGGGGAGGGGGCCAGAGTGCTCGTCAGCGCGAGTGTGTGACCCGCAGGAGGTAAGATGCCTTCCCAGGTGAGGGTGATGTGGCTCTGGGGACTGACACGCCCTGGTCCTGGTGCCTCCTAGGGGCCGTCTGTGTCCTGGGGTCGGCCCTTCTCTGTGGACTGCGGTCAGCCACAGCGAGGCAGCCGGCTCTCAGCCGTGTCAATTACACAGCGGGAAGGCGGCTCGGTGCCGGGGGGAAGCTCCACTAGGCATCTTCTCTCTGCAGGCTGAGCATCGCACCATGACGGCCTTCATCCTGGCTGTCATTGTCAACAGCTACAACACAGGGCAGGTGAGCGGCAGGCACCCAGGGCACCCCCAAGCCCTTCCCCTGGGCCCTGAGTCCTTCCCCAGGTACCCCAAGTCCTACAGCCCGCTGGCATCACCAGGCTCCGCATCATAGGCAGGCAGCTCCAGAGGTCACGGACCCTGTGTGGGGTTTGCTGTGGGTTGTCTTCGCTGTTGCTGACTAAGACGTGGCCTGGTGGCTGAGGAGAGAGCACAGGGTTTTCTTGGCTGTCGTCTTAACTGGGCTGTGGTTGCCAGGCCTCTCTTTCACAGTACCTACGGTCACCAGCCAGGCATACATTGCTGGCATTGCCCCGGGACCTTTGTAGGCTGCAGACGAGGGAGGTGGGGCAGATGTGTTGCCAGGCCGGGCTTCTTTATGAAAACTGGGGGCACCCGGCCCCGGGCTCTCATGGAGCTGTGCCGCCCACAGGAAGCCTGCCTCCAGGGGAACCTGATTGCCATCTGCCTGGAGCAGCTCAGCGACCCCCACCCGCTGCTGCGCCAGTGGGTGGCCATCTGCCTCGGCCGGATCTGGCAGAACTTTGACTCAGCGCGGTGGTGTGGCGTACGCGACAGCGCCCATGAGAAGCTCTGCAGCCTCCTGTCAGACCCTGTTCCTGAGGTGAGCTGGCCGCCAGGCCCCTGCCTGTGCTGGCAAGCAGGGGTGCCCAGGCCTGGTCAGGGAAGAGTGTCCACTTAGTGAGTCTCAACTAGAGTCAGCCTTTGGGCCGTGGGCACTCAAAGCAGGGGCGTTCTTCATTGCATCCCCCGAAGCCGCTGGTCCTCCACCCCAGGCTCCCGGTGCCCTCCGTGGACAGTGAGACACTGGCGGAGCCGAGCTCCGTGAGGAGAGCGCTGAGCAGACCCCTTGCCCCAGGCTGACCCTGCTCCACCTCCCACCCGGTCCCAGGTCCGGTGTGCCGCCGTCTTCGCCCTGGGCACGTTCGTAGGCAACTCTGCTGAGAGGACTGACCACTCCACCACCATTGACCACAACGTGGCCATGATGCTGGCCCAACTCATCCATGACGGCAGCCCTGTGGTGCGCAAGGTATGTCCACCTCTACTCCCCCCACCCCCCTACCCAAGGCCGTTATGTCCCCCTCTGCCGCCCTCCCACCCAGGGCGGTTAGGTCCCCCTCTGCCTCCCTCCCACCCAGGGCCGTTATGTCCCCCTCTGCCTCCCTCCCACCCAGGGCGGTTAGGTCCCCCTCTGCCCCATGAGGAGGCTCACAGAGTCGCCCACACCAGGGTTCAGCAGAGTGGGAGGTGGGGCACAGACAGACACGGCCACAGCCAAACAGATGGCTCCACACAAGCAGACTCCTGCAGACAAGACACCAGCACATGGGCAAACCCCTGCAACACACAAAAATCCTTCCCCGTCTAGGAGGCCCCTAGCCCTCCTCCCTGGCAGCACCTCCGTTCCGGCGGGTGGCACTGTCCATGTAGGCACAGAGTCCGTCTGTCGGGTTTCTGTCTGCCTCCATCTCTCAGCGCACCTGCTGGGTTTGAGCCACTGACCGCATAAACCGTGACAGAGGGATGGTGTACTTTTTCTTGAACTGAGCTCACTGGGCCTCATAGCCATGTTTTGGTTCTAAAACTTACCAGAGACTAGAAACAAACCTTTTGAAAGTTTTACATCCAATAAAATTAACAGGCCTGACTCTGAGTGGCTCCTACCTTCAAAGACTCAGGGTTCACAGGATCTACCTCAAGAGAGCGGCCCAGCCTGACCACTGTCCTCTGGTCCTTTTCTGCCTGTGGGTTGTAAGTCACACTCCCATGACCCTCCTCTGTCAGTCATGCTTAGCAGCCTGTCCGTCTGCAGGACCTGGCAGTGTTCTGGCACGTGTTGGGCCCCCCTGGCCGGGCACCTGTGGGGCTGTGCTCACCCTTTGTGCTCAGCCTGGAGACCCGGAAGCCTCTGCCCTGGGCTCCAGGTGTGGTTGGCACCGCATCCCCTCTTCCCGCAGGAGCTGGTGGTGGCCCTGAGCCACCTGGTGGTTCAGTACGAGAGCAACTTCTGCACTGTCGCCTTGCAGTTCATGGAGGAGGAGAAGAACTACCCGCTACCCTCTCCCGCGGCCTCAGGTATGGCGCCCCACTGTCGGCTGAGAGTAGAGTCCAGCCTGCGGGCCCAGGCCTATAGAGACCCAAGCTCCTCCTGGGCACCTGGGAAGGCTGGCTCAGTCAGGGGCACTCAGAGTGGTGGTGGTCACCCAGCACAGCACAGCAGACTTGGCCGGTGCCCTGGGTGCCACCTGGAAGCATTGCTGCGTGCAATGTGGAGGCTCTGGAGTTTCACACACACAGGAGGGCACCCAACTGGAGCCTGGCCCGCGCCCGCTCTAGAGCCCTGTGGGCACTTGTGTCGCCAAACCCTCCGGTGGGCAGTGGGGGCAGGGCCAGACTTGCCCAGCCCCTTGTGGGATCTGGACAGACAGCAGGGCCTCCTTCCATCGTGGGGGCCACAGCAGAGCACCGATGGCGGCACCTCCCCTGGGATGAGCCAGCGACTGGCAAGCCCCCGCCCTGCAGCAAGCATCTCGGGCTCCCCAACCGAGAGGGCGGGGTCAGCAAACAAGCCAACAGAGCGGGCACCACCACAGGATGCCAACTCCTAGCTAGCCACCCATGTGGGTCAGAGTCCAAGGTCACCCTGCCGCCCCTGAGGTGGCTCAGGGTGGACTTGAACTTGCAGCCTTTGGTGAGCTGCCAAGGGAGTTAGCCATTTGCAAGAGGAAATGATGAGCCTGTTTCCTGCTACCAAACCCCAGACCCACAGCCTCCCCGGCCCGTGACCCCTGCAGCACTGTGTCCCTGGGGAAACTGCTGCCCTGCCCCATTCCATCTTGTGATTCCCCCTCCCTCTGCCACCCAGCTCATTGTGGCACCCCGTAGAGCAGGGTGGAACTGCCTTGGGGGCTTGCTGACTGGACAGAAGCCTCTTTCTCCCAGGGAGCGGCTGGTGGTTTTGAGCTGCGGCTAGTGGTTAACATCCCAGCACGAAGGGTGACTGCTGTGCCGCCTCCTGCCACAAGTCCCCTGGACCCTTGGAGTGGGCACTTGGCTCCTTCCCTTTCTGCCACCTCGCCTGTGTGCCCATCAAGAGCTGTGCCCCTGCCGTAATTGCCCCTCTTTCACTCTCCCCTAGAGGGGGGCAGCCTGACCCCTGTGCGCGATGGCCCGTGCACCCCCCGACTGCGCTCAGTGAGCTCCTACGGGAACATCCGTGCAGTCACCACCGCCAGGAGCCTGAACAAGTCCCTGCAGAACCTCAGCCTGACCGAGGAGGGTAAGGCACCACTGACCCTCGCTGCAGCAGGGCGAGTCCCTCCCCGGCCCCACAGCGGCCTGCTGCGCTCCGTCTGAAGTCCCCTTTGGACATGGGTGTCCAGCACAAGGCTGTCCAGCGCTCAGAAGCACCTCTGGCTTTATATTTATTGTCCTCTCAGGGGGGAGGGGCGCATCTGCTCTTGGCCCCCAGGACCCACTTTCTGCTGGGGCTGCTAAAGCTCGTGTGTGAGGGTGCTGTGGGTGGGGAGTGTGTGCGGAGGTATGTGCAGGAGCATGTTAGTGTGGGAGCTGAGTGCACATGCACTCCTCTGCATGTGTACGTGGGTCAGCTCGTGGGGGAAGGACAGGTGTGGGTCTTGACCGTTGGTCTGGCACCAAGGTGGCCCTGGACTTGACCACCTGTCCCATCCCGTCCCCACAGCAGGCAGCGCGGTGACCTTCTCACCCGGGAACCTGAGCGCCAGCAGCAGCGCCAGCAGCACCCTGGGCAGCCCCGAGAACGAGGAGTACATCCTGTCCTTCGAGACCATTGACAAGATGCGGCGCGTCAGCTCCTACTCCTCCCTCAACTCGCTCATAGGTCAGTCGCAGGCCTCCGTTGGGGGGGGGCCTCACCGGGCACACGCCGCGGAAAGTGTGGGCTTTCCGCTCCCAAAGCGTGAACACAGGTGTCAGCTGCTCCAAGGCCACCGTGCCCTCACGGCGTAGTCCCCTGGCAGTGGTCTCCTGGGGCACCGGGCAGGCCGTGGCACTGTGGTTTTGCAGGCCTGGCCTCGGTGTGATGAGTGAAGCGGTGAGCCGCGCACCGAGCACAGCCCACCACACTGGGCTGCCGACGGCAGTCAGCAGTGTGAACCCCCCGGCATTGCTGCGGGAGCGAGATGCGGCTTTCTGCCCCCGTGAAACGAACAGCCTGGGAACCCCGGGAGGGGGCAGGTCTTCTCTGCCTTGCAGGGCCGCTCCGAGACAGTCTGCTCGATGGCAGTGAGGGTTTCAGGATCTATAGGCGCAAATAAACTTAGCCTGCACGTCCTTCCTCCTCCTCGCCTGGTCTGGTGAAGAGATGTCCGTGTAGCTTCGACGCGCTAGGCCCGGGGTTCCAGAGCAGGCCGTTTCAGACCGCCTGCCTGCGCACAGCCTCCCTGGCTGGTGCTCGCAGCCGCTGCGTGTGTGCAGCAGCTGCGAGTCCCGGTTCAGATGTTCCCCTCACGACCGTGGGCCGGCCGCTGTCTGTTTCTTCTTCAGCCAGCAGGGGGGCCAGAGAAGTGTCCGTGGCCGTCCCTGAAGGCGGGCTGCCCATTGCCTTGGTGGTGTCTGTGTACCTGCACCCATGTGAGGAGGCCTCTAGGTGCGCGTCCTGCGGGGGCCTCAGCGTGGACCTGCCCCAGCACTGTGTCCTTGAGCGCTGCTCTCCTGTCCTGCCTCTGTGGTGGAAGGGGACAGTGAAGTAGCTCGCGGGCTCAGCTAGCCTTTCTTTCTCTCTCACGTGAGCACAGAGCTCTCCCGGTCCTGCATGGGCCTCTGGTTCAGTTCTCATGGCTTCTGATCCCTGAGACCAGCCCTCCGCCGCAGGACCCAGACTGACTCCTTCCACACGGCCTAGAGGTGGGCCATCCCTGACCGACCTCATGTCACATGTCAGAGCCACTACTGACATATCCCAACCTAGCCAAACGCGGTGTGTGAGGGTCTGGCCAGCTGTCCCCAAGAGGGCTGGCTGGCTGGCTGGCATGCAGAATATGAGTGTCCATCGGGTGCTGGAGGCTACTGCAATCAGGAAGGGGGGGTTCTTATCACCACACGTGCATGCACATGTTAATACACGCCTGTGCCCACATTCATGAACATGTACACACTTAAACAACTCATACATACACATGCACATAATACATGCAGGCACATAGAAGGCGCAAGTCTGTGTGTACATACATACATACACGTGCATATACAGATTATACAGACCCGTGCACAAATGTTAACATACCCACAGTCAAGTGCTCACACGTGCGCGCACACACACACACATAGGCATGGACCACAAGACTCCTCCCAGAAGCCCTGCGTTGCCTCGCTCACTGAGCCCCTCGCTGGCCTGCAGGGTGCGTAGGGAGGGGTGCAGGGCCGCACACCACTCCTCCAGGCCTGTGTGCTGTGACCGCAGCATCGGGGTGACCGATACTGGCTACATTCCCAACTGGCCCTCCAGTCTTTGCAACCGTGTGTCCACCCGCGTCGTAATGCCAGTGAGAAACAAGCACGTTAGATAACGGCAGGGCCTCAGACTACGCCCCGCGGGCCACATGCGGCCC